CAAGGGAATGCAAAGAACCAAGCTCTTTCAGAAGTAAAGTACGAAGCAGATCCAGGGAATGCAAAAAACCACACTCCCCCTGAAGTAAAGTATGAAGCCGATCCTTGGAATACAAAGAATCAGACACCCCCTGGAGTAAACTATGCAGCAGATATGGAGAATACAAAGAACCAAGCTCCCCCAGAAGTAAAGTATGAGGCAGATCTGGGAAATGCATGGAAAAAAGTTAACGAAGAGGAAAGGAATGTTGCAGATATAGAAACTGCTGAGAAACAGACTCATTCAGTCGAAGAGAATACACTAGATCCAAGGAAAGAAAAGTATGTTTCTACAGAAAAACAAGGTCACCCACAGAATGAGAAGACAATTAAACAGGAAGTAACAGAGGACGGAAAGGTAGCAGACCCAGAGAGTGGTGAGGTAGCAAGGAAACAACAGGCTCCAGACAGGAGAAAGGTAACTATAATACAAAAAATACAATACCAAACCTTACATAATTATCAGCTGTAGCATGTAGGGTAAAGGCAAACTAGTAAATGATAGGCAACTCATGAAAAAAACTTGAAATGCAGATTTAAGTATTAAAAATATTGTTTTGCTATCTTTATGAAGATCTGTAAAAATTATTTTTATATGAAATAGTAGTAGTAGAATATAATTTCATGTAATTATATTACAACTTTACTTTTTTTTTCTTAGCTTCTGAATGCCAGCAAAAGCGATGAAAATGACGATGATGACGATGATGATGATAGCTTGTTTGGACCACGGAAACTGTTCTTTATTGGAGTAGATTATTTCAAGGTAAAATTTATGTCTGTACTTTAAATACCTTTCTTTTATCTTTCTAATTGTGTTGAGTTAATGATTTTATTATTCCATTCTTTTATATTTTAACACTTTCTGTATCTGTTTTGTTCCAGGGCGATGAAAAAAGAAGCAAGTCTAGAGCTTGAGGGAATGAGGGCAATTTTACTTGAAAGAAGAAAAAAATTTCCTGATAAAATGTAATAAATACCAGTTTTTTACCGAATTAAAGTGTTCGTGATTTTTTAAATGAAGTTAATTTATTTGATATCATATGGGGTCAAAATTCAGAAAACTTGTTTATGAAAAAAAAAAGTTTATTCATGCAAATAGGACATGCGCAAATCTACGGGGTGGGGGTGGGTCTGGACCACCTGGAATTTAAATGTTAAAATAAACTTCTATGTAAACATGACGAAAATATACCTTGGACCAGCTTAGGAATTACGGATCCCTCTTAAGGATATCCAATCCTCAGTCAGGAAGGATAACTCTTAAATTTATTATTTTATTTAAAAAGTCTAAAAATGAAGCTTGAAATTAAGATCTTTTCGTGCAACAATTTTCATTCTATACATCTCAGTATGATTCAAGGTTTTTTGAAGTCTCAGAAACGGTCTTGTAAAAAGTTGGCTATTCAAATGAACTCGATATTATTCGTAAGAATATGTAAGTATGAATACTGTGTGTGTCGTACTATATATATTGTAGTCATTCTTAAAGAGTATCGTATATGTAACCGTGTCATATCCTACATAATCGTGAAAAGATCGTAACCCCTTCGTAATGTGATCGCTAAATATCCACGTTTCTTCCTCATGAGATTTGTTCTAAAGAAAAATAATTCATACCGGTGTCACAAATTGTTATCTATATGGCTACACCTATTGTTCCATTAAATTTTGACACTCACAACTTTAATCCAAAGAATAAATATCTAGCAATATTTTTGAAAATTGTAACAATATCCAAAAGAAACAAACAGCATTTAGGATTTAGGGGGGTGGGGGGTTCATTACATTTTTGTTGGGATTTGCCTTTGTTTGACCGTACAGCAACAAAAATGTGGGGAGGGGGCAATCAGCAACTAAATCAAAATTTACAAATTAAAACCACAGCAAAAGACTAACGACAAACAAATCTAGGTGCTCGATAAAAAAGAAATTTACGATATCAAATATACATAGTAAAATCACATAAGCTTAGAAGTGTACATGTAAGTGCATACTAATAAGTCAACAGGACGCAAGGGAATTCAGAATTAATAAAACATATATCAAGTCTGTTTCTCCGAGACGAGGACACACAATTGTATAACAGGTGTTGTTTATTACCAACCTCTCTATCAGAGATCACTTCCTCTTAAATGTCTTGTTTGTTGATTTGAGAGTGAAAAAATAATAAATTGTAACTTCAGTTGCAATTTCTATCTTTTCTATCCACAATATATTTCACATTAAATTCTTATCAGTAGATAGGAAATTTTACGAATAAGTAAGTAATATAATAGAGGTTTACTCGTCAGCTGTAATAATAATGATAAAAATAAAAATGATAATAATAATAAAAATATGACTGATAATGATGCAGACTTTCTTGTTATATTAATTGTGTCCACAGTCATCATTTGTTTCGGTGTTAATTAAAGACCGAGGTTTTCAAACGGTCGGTTTCCCTCAGGTAAGTTTGGTGTAGGGTGGAGCTCAGTTGAAGTGGTTGTGAAGTCCCGAGGGGACCACGCTGGCCTGTGTATACCTACCTGTATACCCAGGGTTTACCTGTATTATCTGTATGTTTTCCTCGGACATAAAATCTTAAAATTGGGACGTTCCAAAGCAAAATTACTAACATGGCTTTGCCCAGTTGCTTTTCTGGAAAATATTTTTACGCAATTATTTACGCAAAGTTTTTTTACTTTGAGTTCGAGATACAAGTTATAAAATACATTAACTGTGCAAAGTAGTCGCAAGATATGTTCATCCCCCACCCCTTTTCTTCGGGTCACCTGTTGTCTGAATGGTCAGCATATCATTCGTTGTTATTTTTCTAGATTGTTGCCATCCTCAATAAAAACTTGTATGCCTGACAAAGGAGTTTTTATTTTGTAACAAGGGTCCGCTCGACTTGTTACAATATCCTCATCCTTATGTATAAGTTTGGTGATAATCTTCCCAGCGGTTCATGAGGTTTTTTTTTAAAGACATCCAACCTATCTTTGCCTTTCTTTATCATCTTCCTTTTCAAGAGAGCATGATCCTTTTCATAAAACTTGAATCCAAGTTACTCCAAGGATTCTTCTTGTGCCATGTTTGATCGAAATAGGTCCAATGGTTCTGGAGATGAAGTCGAAAATGTTTTAAAAATTTACAGACAGACGGGTGAAGGATAAAATGTTAACAGAAACGCTCATTTATGGTTTCAGCTCAAGTGAGCTGAAAATTAAAGCGAAAATGCAATTGTCGGACCTTTGTTTTTATACTGAATTTAACTACAAAATGTTCCATTTACCTGATCTATACATAGGGCTAACGGCATGTGTGACAGGTCAACAGGGGATGCTTACTCCTCCTAGGCACATGAACCCACCACTGGAATTTTCAGGGGTCCATGTTTTATGCCCTCTTCACATAATTGTATTGTTTGTGGATTTTTTTTTAGATCGATAACTGTTCGTTATCTTCACCATTTTCATTCACAGTAATCATGCTCGAAGTTCAATCAAACAATACAGATTGTGATCAGAGTAAACACTGGCCTCTGAAAACAGAGGTAGGATCAGGTGCCATGGAGGAGTGAGCATCCCCTGTCGACCGGTCACTATCATGTATTTAGGTATGAAACTTTTTTTCATTTGAAATTTCATTGACATGATCAATGATAGGATACAGAACGTACTGAAATAGATATTCACTTTACTAGGATACTCACTCCCGCCCCAGCCCGGGGTTGAACTGTTGACCTATGGAACCTGTCTCCTAGCACTGCAGGAACAACGCGCTAGACCACTCGGCCATCTAGGCAAGTTTAAAAATTGCTTTAGATGGCGATGGAATTCTTGCTGCGCCGCCCTACACTACACGATCATTGAGAATAGAAGTAATACAGTATAATGTCAATTCGTAACATGATTAAATGCAAGTATTCTCGTGTATGATTTTTATGCCCCCGTATCGAAGTTTCGGAGGTATATAGTTTTTGCCCTGTCCGTCCGTCTATCTGTCTTTTTTGACTTTTTTGTCCGCAAAACTTCAACCTTGCCCATAACTTTTGATTGGTTGGAGCTATGGCTTTCATATTTCACAAGTGTATTTCTTGAGACAAGACCTTTCTTTGGGCACAATCATATTTGACCTTGATCTTGGAGTTTGATCCAGTTTCCCAAAATTTTACCGAACATTAACCTTGGCTACAACTTTTGAACAATTGGTGCTAGGGCTTTCATACTTCACATGTGTAATCCTTGTGACAAAGCCTTCCTTTGGATTTCTACATCTTTGACCCTTTGACCTTGACCTAGGAGTTTGACCTTTTTTTGATAAACTTTATCCTTGACCATATCTTTTGAACGGTTGATGCTAGGGCTTTCATACTTCACAAATGTAATCCTTGTGACAAGACCGTCCTTTAGATACCAACAGTCTTGACCATTTGACCATAACGTTTGACCTACTTTTGAAAAAACTTTAACCTTGGCCATAACTTTTGAACAGTTGATCCTAGGCTTTCATATTTAATATGTCTATTCCTTGTGACAAGACCTACCTTTGGATACCAACAATTACAATTCATCAACCTTGACCTTGGAGTTTCACCTACTTTTGAAAAACTTTAACCTTGGTCATAACTTTTGAACGATTGATGCTTTGGCTTTCACATTTACATGTGTATTTCTTTTGAGAAGGCTTTCCTTGTACACCATTAAATTTGACTTTGACCTTGATGTTTGACTTACTTTTAAAAAACTTTAACCTTTTCCAAATCTATTTATTTGTTGTTGCTAGGGATTTCATATTTCACAGGTATATTCCTCAAGACCTTACTTTGGGTACCAATATATTTGATTTGCATTTGAGAAAGTTTAACCTTTGCTATAAAATGTCATATGGGGACATCAGTTTCAAACACATCTTGTTCTTTTTTACTTTCTGGTTTAATTGTGAAAACATATTTGCAGATTATATGCTTAACTGTTCAAATGTAATTTAAAGAAAAGTTTCTCGATGTCTAACATTAATCTGTGCTTGGGACATCCTCAATGCTTGGAACATAGTTGATACTTTCTATTAACCCCTCCTTGTAGAATCCTTCAAGTGCTTTTAGTCTGAAGAAATTCTGCAAAGCCTTGACTGATTTTGATCCCAGGCTTCGTTCTTTGGATTCTCTTTTCTCGGTGGTCCATGAAAACAGCCCCCACAACACTGAATGCTTTTTTTCAGTAACGATTACTTCTGGAGCTATCTTGAAGTCCATTTTGTAGAGGACATACATGCAATCAATGTACTTCAGATCTGGGGATCTTCCAAACGCCATCATTCCGTATCGCGCTGAAGAATCAGCACCTTGGTTGAATTTCCATTCTATTAGTTTATACTCCCATGCCTCATCCGAAAAAAGGATTCCTTCCATCTTTTTCCTGATATCTGGAGTAATACCTGGAAAATTTTGTGTCTGTAAGTTCGATGTCTACTCTGCATTATGTTCCATTATAAAATTGTAGCAATAACATGCAACATGTAATAAGAGGCCAATGGATTATAGTGCTCACATTGTTAATCACACTACACATTGGACATTAACGTGGACCAACTTTGGAACAACATTTCAACAAAAGTTTTCAGGTAACAATTTTGATCTTTTAGTAATAAAGAAGAGACCCTGACAATCGATTTCATGCTTTTCTCCCAGTCTCCTTGAGAATACTTAGTGGAAAAAGAGATGTCACTGAAGCAGGGCAGTAAAACAAATTTTAGTCAATGCATGTGCAAAATTTGTTGAGACAAACAATTTAACTTGATTATTCATATATACACGTACATCCAAAGCATTTCAAACTTCTAGAGATTCTTTTTAAAAAATTATACGTCTCTAAAAATTTTACCCATTTTATTTCTACCCATCCTCTTCACGAATTAAACCAATCTGATTATACCCTCAAAGATGTTGCTTGCATATCTTTGACAAAGTTTAGCCATGCTAGCTGTTTTTAAGGGAGTGCTTGCCCAATGGTTCAAGCTTTGAACAATTCTGATTTTTCATTAGGTCTTTCTTGAGAAAATGATTATTAATATAAAGTTCTACGCTATTTGTACAACACTTAGATATACTTTTTTCGGTTCTGTTTTCAATTTAATCTCTCCTTCTTAAGTTTTCAATGTCCCCTGCCTAATCTTCTAATTATGCCTACCTTGAAAGAGGACAAAATACCTTCGTTTCATTAAGTATGAATCCTTACGAATACGTTATGTTAAATCTAAGAATCTAAAAAGGCATGCAGTATGTGTCCAGAAAAGATTGAAGTAAGTGAAATGTTAACAGTCCAGCAGTCTCTGATAACAAAGACTCGCCTTGAGTTTCCTGACCAGGTTGTGAAAAATTATTATCGTTTTCCCCTATTGAATTCTTTTCTGTTTGTTTGTTTTTTATCAAGTTTTTAATACCTTCATAACTATTCTGGAGGTGGTCGAGAAATGGAACGATCTTGTTTTCGGGTATTTTGGTTGTTTTCATAACTTCACAGCCTTCGTGCCATTTTTCAAACAACTCTCCCTCTAATTCACGTTCCAACTTTGTGGCATCGTACTTTGCAACCTTAAAAATGTATATTTAAATGAAAGTTTTATCTAAAAAATATGAGAAAGGAAGAAAACCCACAAAAGTATTTCTTTCTAAAAAAAACCCCAAACAAAAAAACAAAAACAAGATGTGTTTGTGAAACACTGATGGCCCCGTATGGCAACTTATAGCGAAGGTCAAACTTTTTCAAATGCAAATCAAATATGTTGGTACCCAAAGTAAGGTCGTGTCTCGAGGAATATACCTGTGAATTACATGTATTAAAAGCCCTAGCAGCAAATATTGAAAAAATAAGGAAAGGGTAAAGTTTTTCAAAAGTAAGTCAAACATCAAGGTCAAATGGTCAAAATTAATGGTGCGCAAAGAAAAGCCTTCTCACAAGAAATACACATGTGATATATGGAAGCCCAAGCACCAACCGTTCAAAAGTTATGGCTGAGGTTAATTTTTTTTCAAAGCAGGTCAAACTCCAAGGTCAAAGGGTCAAAGTTGTTGGTTTTGTCAAAAGATTGACACATGTGAAGTATGAAAGCCCTAGCACCAACCGTTCAAAAGTTATGGCCAAGGTTAAAGTTTTTTCAAAAGTAGGTCAAACGCCTAGGTCAAGGTCAAAGGGTCAAAGCTGTTGGTTTTCAAAGAAAGGTCTTGTCAGAAGAATTACATATGTGAAGTATGAAAGCCCTAGCACCAACTGTTCAAAAGTTATGGCCAAGGTTAAAGTTTGGTAAAAAAAAAATGTCAAACTCCAAGGCCAAGGTCCGAAGGTCAAATATGATGGTACCCAAAGAAAGGTCTTGTCACAAAAAATATACAAGTGAAATATGAAAGTCATAGCTCCAACCAATCAAAAGTTATGGTCAAGGTTAAAGTTTTGGCGGACAAACAGCTAGACATACAAATAGACATTTTCTTACCTACCAATAATTGCAGCACCTTATATTTTATACATATTCATATTCAATATCTAAATCACTTATAGGTATACATTTATATATTACACAACTTCCAGCATATTTTACTAATTAGTTCATTTGAAGTACATTGTTTGTCCATAGACGATAAAACTTTAAGTGAAGAGCAATACGTTGTCTTACTTTCACTGAATGAAGACCCTTTTTAACTGCTGCAAGTGCCGAATACTGAGCTTCACTCTCAGCATTGCCAGTGCCCGTGGACTGGACGGGTATTTGCACATGGACATCGATTGTCCCAGAAGCCACCTCTGCCATGTTCACGGCTTGAAGTATCAAACAAGTTGGAACTGTCTTCTTCTAAGCTGAAAAACAAGTCATAACATCATTTTCATCTCACGACTTTGTTCAATCTGACAATTTTACCCTTTGACCTTGACCTTGGAGTTTGACTTACTTTTGAAAAACTTTAACTTTGACAATAACCCTTTAACAGTTTTTGCTAGGGCTTTCATATCTTATATGTGTTCTCTTCCATTGGGCACCAACAATTTTGTTATGTTTACCTTGACCTTGGGGGTTTGACTTGTATTTGAGAATTTTAACCTTCGCTATGAGCCGCCACACGGGGGCATTAGAGTTTCAAAAACACATCTTGTTTTCTAAAAATGTTGGTAGAGGTCAGATGAATGCAGTAGTTTTATTTAACCACACTCCGTGCTGCCTTCAGTCACTGTGTTTCGTCATCATGTCTTCAGTCTTTTTTAGCGCTGATACTACAGGAGCAAGTCCCTACTGGAATTCAAAGTTTTAAGGTACTTATTGCCAGAAGTGTGCCTTTATAACGCAGCACCTCTCCCCTTAATTCTTTTTCCTTTAAAGTTTTTATTTCTAATTTCTATATTTATCAGAGAAACTATGTTTACACTCGTCGATTATACGTAGATTTCAGTAGTAAACTATAGTTAACTGTCATTTAAAGTCATAAACTAAATTTAACAGATGTAAACTATGATTAACAATCGTAAACTCTATCGTTAACGGACGGACAGGACAAACACTATAAGTCCCCTAATTTTCGATTTTGGGGGCATAAAAACAAATTCTGCATCCTATAAGCAGAATTAATTTCTCTTCTTCATAATCTTGAATAAGTCAAGCCATCAGCGACTCGTTTGATACCAGCAATGCTCAGTCATATTTGTCTACTCTACAACGCTATGCTAGGTTGGAAAATGTCCGACCCGGTGATTTACCTTCACAAAGTTCTTTATGAAAAAAAATGATTTCAAATCGTCCGCTTTTTTTTTCTATTTTTAAATAAATAAATTTTGATCAATAGTTGTCCTATCATTTCCCAGATTATCTGGTAAATACGGTTTCTATGGTTTACAACTCTCTCTTAACTCTAGTTAACGAATGTTAATGATATTTTACGATTTTAAACTATAGTCAGATACTTAAGGTGTTGAATTTACAAAATTGTAATAAACATAGTTTTACATTCGAGAAATGGACAAACATATCTACTAGTGTCGTTCAAAGGTTTGATTGATACATCAATAAAAAGTCAAATATATAAAGGCATCTTACCTCTGAGAAAGCTGGCTAGATACTGTCTACTTGTATGCTGTGTGATGTAATAATAATTTCCCAAAATCATCAAGGATTTTCCAATAACAGAGCTGCATCATTTACATGGCATAGTCTAAATGGGTTGACTGGATAAGAGAAAAAAAATGAAACAATGTCTTCATACTAATATACATTTTTAGGGTGAAATGAGCTAATCTGCCAAAGTTCGGGGATTTTACTCTTGGTATTTAAAACTGATGTTGAAAGAGAAAGGAGGGGAGGTATAAATTTGATATTAAGTCCAATCCATGTTTTAGGATGGCAATCACAAGCGTTTCAGTTTTAGTTTCATACACTTGATTCCCGACTGTCGGTTTCGATTTAGTGCAACTCACCACAGTATGGTGTCCTGTTCGGGCTACTAGCTTTGAACAATAAAGAGTCAGCGAAATGACGAACGAGGGCGAAAACATAAAATAGAAAACAGCCATGGAGAGGGGCAGATCTTAGAACTCTGAACTCTATTACATACAGGAATCACTCCATTTTATAGACACTATAAATCAAAAATTGCTGTCCGATATAAAGTTTAGATACTGATGAAGGATTAACAAAATTAAAATTATACAACTTCAAATGTTATCGCTTGAAATTGATGAAAACCTCTTTTCAGTACAGGTTTTATAGCTGGGGGGGGGGGGGGGGGGGTTTACAGCTTCTGAAGACAAAGTCTAGGAATTATATCATTCAAAAACAGAAGTGTCCCTTTTGAAAAAGAGAAATAGAGTCTCCAAATTAGCACCAAATCGACGAGATCCCTCGCCCTCACAATTTCACATTGTCGCTCCTAGGTGACGATGGTTTCGCTGTTTTACGTACTGTTTATCCCTTATAGGATACCATACTACAAGTAAAGTTTCGATTATTATTTTTTTGGCCAGTTGAAAAGTAAGAGAGGGGTGTTTAAGGTAAGATTTAGTCTTTATTATCGTAACTTTGTTTTTCGCAAAGGCAACCTAAGATTATGGATAATACTTAGATCTATCAATAAATTATCATTGTTAACTAGTAGTATTTTTTCCAGCCTGATTAAAGTCAAACCTTATACTAGCTCCTTTATTCTGATGGTCGCAACCATAATTTATAGCTTAGTTTTGATTAACAATTCAATTTCATGGAAATACATGGACACATCTGTTTCATATTTGGATATTTTACTAGAAAAAGACGTTAATGGTAATCTAACAACAAAACTTAATGATAAACGTAATGACTTCAACTTTTCCATCGTCAACTTCCCTCATTTATGTAGCAATATACCCCTGTCACCTGCATATGGGGTTTTTATCTCCCAGTTGATTGGATACGCAAGAACATGCTCCACGTACGAACAATTTCTAAAACGAGGGAAGCTACTGACAAACAAGTTGATGAAACAAGGATTTCAACAGTCTCGTTTAAAGTCTTCATTTTGCATGTTCTATGGTCGATACAATGACCTTATCAGTAAATACAATCTATCACTAAGTCGAATTGCTGACTGAGGTTTTTTGTACTTATTGTTAGGCCATTATTTAAACACTGAATTGTCTACGGATTTTTCCGTTTGTCCAACCATGACAATGAGCACACGGCGGGTGTGTCCAGTCGACAGGGGATGCTAACTCCTCCATGGCACCTGATCCCACCTCTGATGCTTTTTAGAGGTCCATGTTTGCTCTGCTCTAAATCTGTATTGTGTCAATGGACTTTTGAGATTGATCACTGTTCGTTATCTTCGTATTTCATGGAGAAACTGCCAAAATTATACCTTAAAGACCTTGTAACACGGATAGAATTTTAAGATTATTTTCTTGAAAAGTTATCCCTCTTATCAGGGGATGTTCCCACAGGCACTTGTTTCTATAATAAAATTTTTAATATTTTTATTCTATGGGTTCAAAGATCTATAACAGAAACAAGTACTTGTGGATGTTCCCCTCAATAATATCATTTTAAAATTTTATTACAGATGACATTTAATTGTAAACTTCTTGAATTATGTTGAATTATGTCAATTGAATTTTTAGTGAATGAATGAAAATGGGATCCGTATCGACACATCACGAAAAAACAAATGAAGGTATAAATTTCTTCATGAAAAATAAAAAAAAATAAAACTTTATTCCTACGTATTTTTACTTACCGACTGTTAATAGATTATTGTGTACTCCTTTCTTCCTGTTGTATCTCTCAAATACAAGAAATTTTTATGTTTTTTTTTTTTTCATTTTCTTTACTTAGGTGTACACGTTGACACAGACAAAAATCCGACGTTTTTTCACACAGTAACGACAGGTGCGTGTGGACTTTATAGCTCACATTGTGATTCTGCAGCTATGATCGACGATTCATTATCAGCTGTTAAAGTATCTACCCAAGAAGCCAGGGCGCTCCAGAGAACATTGGAAAGAGAGTACTTTTCTCACTGGAACGAAAAATGCGAAGTACAAGAATATCGCGGTTTCTCGCTGTCTCAGACAGATTTACTCGTGCGACAAATAGGCGACAGTTTCGGTAGCTTTCGCACAAACATCCTCAGACAGTTGTCCGGAATTCATTTTGCTGAGAAACTTGGAGTGAACATTTATGAGTTCACCTTTGGAGAAAAAATGAGCTCGGGTGAGGTTTATTTTGGAATGATCGCAATAGCAAAGAATGAACATAGAGATGAAATGAACGCAATCTCCTGTCTATACAAACTCAATTTTAACTTGGGGAAAGTTAAGCACAAGGAGACTCGAACCTTTAACCTGTTTGGGTTTATTCCAGTTGATGAGAGTACTGAAACATGGTATGAATCAAAAAGCCTGGGTTTCGTGACAAAAAACGAGTTGGTCAACTTTTGTCGAGTAAAAGCTTTGGGTGAATTCAGACGCAGAAACTTTATTTCAAGGATGAATGACGTCTATTCTGTGAAGTAGTTATTAATCCAGAACATTCAAAGTAGAAATGTATACAAATAGAAAACTGCCTGAAGTTTTTGTACATGTAAATTAAATTTTGAATACTATTTATAGAAATACTTTGATTTGTTCTTTTTTTATTTTTGTTTTTGTTTGTTTGTTTGTTTTGTTTGTTTTTTTTTAGGAACACCTTTTTTGCTCTATTTTTTTTTTACAATTATGATTTGTAAGATTTATTGTTAGTTATTGTAGTTAGCTTTTTTGAAGTTGTTTTGGCTGGGATTTCTATTATATGACTAGTCGTCATGTTCTCTAATTGAATCTAGTCAGAGTTAAACATTGTTTGCTTGACTTAATATCCCAGCCAATTAAATATTTGTATGTGTTTTTATATTTTGTCTGTTTTCGTCATTTATTTGATTAAATGACATGTTCACCCATATAACGTTGTTTCTCTTATTTCATAATATATGCGAATTAGCAAAAAAAAAAAAAAGAAAAAAAAAAAAAAAAAAAAAAAGAAAGAAAAAAAAAAAAGAAAAAAAAAAGAAAAAGAACTGCGAATTGCCAGTTTTTGATTTGAGTTGTACATACCAAAATTTGTGGATATAAATAAAGGTTTTAGGTTTGTCTTCATATTAGTTACATTACATAACAACATTGCATACGAATAATATGAAAACTAAATATGGGATACCTTCCTATTATAAAAATTGCTCACAATGTCCGCAATAATGTCAGCAGTTTTCAAGATAAGCAGTCATATCTCCCCCATTTTGCTTGTCAAATATTTTAGAGTCACCCCTCTCAAGTTTATTTATAGATAAACAGCACCGGCCACTGAGGAAAATTCCCCCACTCCCTTAAATTTGAGTTCACAGTTCATTTTTAAGGTCAAGGTCACTTGCATTGGTAAGGAAATGCTAAAAATTCCATGCCCTGTGGTATTGTATCATTGTGTTTCTTCCCTTTTTTTTATTCTAGATACTTTTATTTCCAGATAAACAGTTTTTTAGTCAGGATTTTAGTTTTAAAACCTGTTTCCCTTAAGAATACTCATATGGAACACCCCGAGCAGGGTTTATAATTGTGTTTTGTACAAAGACAATGAAATGGATAAACCATTTTAACTACCTCTGCCTGCAATGAAGATATTCGTTAATTCTTTTTCATTGTGGGAAACTTTTTTAAAACCGTTCAGATATATTTCCATAAACAGATTTTGATACACTGAATGTTTCTCTTTTGTTTGCACTTGCTTTCAATTTCCCCTGATTTCATAAATAAAAATGGTGAGTGCATATGTATCAATTGTGTTGAAGTTAATTTTTATATCAGTATGCACACTTGAAGTTTGAGCTCTACTTTGTTTTTTTCCCCTCCTTTAATTCTTATTTTTAAGAAATAAAAACGTGAATTTTAGAAAACCGAGAGAACATATGCGAATATCACGAGAACATAAGCGAGTATCAATAACCCCCTCTAGCACTGGACTTTCCTACTCAAAGTTACGTTTAATTTCGAGTGATATACTGCGGTATAATGTGACAAATGATATCTAATACTAAACCGTCTACCAGCCCTAGCCCTATCCCCTTCCTTCTTCCCATTAAGTTTTTATCAACAGATTAGGACACTAGCCGAAAAAGAAATTAAAAAATGGTTGACTTATTACAATAAATTTGAAAAAGTTTAATTTATATCTAGGAGTTTGGTCGATGTCTATGATTATTGCGTTACTTAACATTTAATATTAACATTACTTCACTGAGAAATCCAATAACTTTCATTTAAATAATGTCATCTCTGCGTGAAAATTGTTTATATGAAGCTGTTTGAAAAAATGTGAGAGATACAAAGGCAATGGATTTAGAAAGATTTACTCTGCAATTTTCTTTGTTCAAAATATCAAATTTACGACCTTAAAAATAGAAAATGTCTACGTAATATAATCCTTAAATTCTCTTCTTCACTTATTGAAAAAAGTAAATTTTACTGAAGAAATAACCTCTGAATACTGGTAGGTATCTATAAATATCTATGTAAGGCGGGACTACAGAGACATGACATCCGAGGACTTATAAAACTCACAAGCAGAGTGTCATGAGCAAAAGACCAAAATTTTATTGTTCAAACATGGACATTCCTTTAGTGATAGTGAAGAAACTTTACTCGGGAACAAAGTTCCCTACCTTCTTTATGTTTAGGATGTGGATCGGGTATGGATTTGACGCTGCAGAAATCGCCGCAGTGATGGTAAATCCCGGATTCGTCTATTCGAACACGACATGGGAATACGTGTTCTATTTTTATCTGGCGTTCGTCATCATTATTGCATTTATCTTGACGGCGTCTTTCAAACTCAGCGAGGAAATTTCCGACAGCAAACTTCACTCTTTTTTCGCTTTCTTCAAGCTGACGTCGGCAATCACGGCGGGGTTCATTTTCTTCCAGCTTTATCTGCAGGATGACAGAGAGCCTCTCACCATTTTCATCATGGTCATCACCGGTGCCGATATGAGCCTAGATTTTATAGAGATGGCGGCTGGCTGTGCTTCTCTTGGATTTAATATGGTGTATCCTTTGGAGATGAACAAATCACAAGCTTGAGAGAGAATTTTGCTGATTTACATTGAATCCAAATAATTTCTTTAAGTACAGATAATGTAAAAACTGAAGAAAAAAATTGTTTAAAAATAAGCATATTGTTCATGTTACCTGTATAACGAACTTTGATGTCTGTTTCGATGAAGGTGCTGTTTTGCAATGTTTGGAACCTTTGAGCAACGAAAGTTAAAATATTTTAAAACAAATAGATTACAATAATGGAGATTCTATCCAGTGATTTCTGCATTTCGCAAATTTACCCATATATTTGTGCTGACTGATGTTTCCAATGTCAGAGAGTTATAAAAAAAGAATTCTTGATACAGTGAAACAGTATTAAACGAATCGAAAAAGCTATAATTAGATCGTTATAATACCCCCACTTAGTTTTACCCATTTAAAATTATTTGATTTTCTAGCTCTGACTGAAAATTGTTTGTATAAAGCATGTATTTCATTGTAAGAGTATTCCTGTGGAAAAAAAGAGAAAAGAAAAAAAAAAAACACTCCGAAGGGAAAGGGTTAAACTAATCTGAATCTCTGCAACATGAGAGCGTTCACTTTCATCAAACTTAAAACATTTTTTCTCTCTTTTTCATTGAAGGTCTACTGGTCCGACAGTGTTGTTATGATTACTAAATCTAAACTTTCTGTGAAATTCTTTCATTCCCTTGTCAGTTTTGGCCCCCTTTCAATAAAACCTGATACCGTTACACTAGAATCAATGTAGAGGCTGTCCAGGCAAGTAAGAGATTTATTATTTATAAATAGTGTATTATAAGACATATTTCTATGTATCATTTTTCGTTCTAAAAATAGAAATTTCTATAAAATTCTTTTAAAAATTTATTTATTTATTTTTACATTTTTGGTCCTATTTCAATAACATCTAATGTACAAGCACTCTTAAGCTACATAATTTTCTTTCTCAGCTTTATGTGATCTTGATGTTTCCATGACTATACTAAAAATAAAATTGATTTGAAATTCTTTCTCTTATAGTTTTGGTCAGAATTTAATAAAATTTAACATCCATTGGTTTCTTAAAAACAGAAATTTATGTAGAATTCTTTCAAAACGCTATTCCTCTTACACTTGTTCTGATTTCAATAAAACTTGGACCACAGGTTTAATTATATACTAAGATACACAATGCTCTCACATATTTTTAATTTCAGTGGACAGTGTCTGATTTCAATAAAACCTTGTAGGTTGTAAACTAAACTACTACGTAAGACTAGTTTAGTTTTAGTTATCACTGTTGATATTTCTACTAAAGAAGACTGTTAGAAAATCTTACAAAATGCTACAATTTTCATTTGATTACAACATAATTTGGTACAAGTTTAAGAAAACATCAGGATACATAATTTAATCTAAATGTAGAATATATGGCCACAGCAAGAGACTTCTTTTCATGTATAAATTTATAATACAAAAATAGGTCTGCTAATAACGGGGCGCATGGGAATTTCAACAGATTGTTTCAAGACTTGATCTCCAACACTACACAATATTGTCAATCAGAAACTCAAATATCAATTTCGGAGTACTTGTGCGTATACAATCAAAATATTTTTTATATACATGTATGTATATTTTCCATTTACTTCCTAACACGAGGAGTGCCTACAAATAATATTCGTTTCAGATTTCAACATCCGATACTTTTAATACATTCAGACAATGTGTCTTCGTTGTGTCTTCGTTTTCATGTTTGGCCTATCGCCTGGCGTAATCTTCAACAGAATTCATCATATTTATGGAATTTGATGCCAGTTGAAAGATCAGGGTTCCCTAAATTTGGCCCGTATAGGAAGCAATTTCAGTTGGGGGGGGGGGGACCTATACATTTTCAGTTGAGGGGGCACTATCAACTACCTAAAATTCTTTGACAAGCAAAAAAAAAAAAAAAAAAAAAAAGGTCATAAGACGATTTTATTGAGGGGCACATGCATATAGTATCTACGTTTTCTATATATAGTAATCTATTTATCGGCAAAATAATTGCCCCCCCCCCCCCCCCCCCCGTTCCTACGGCCATGTAAAACAAGTGATTTAAGGTCCTCATTAATTATCTTCACGTCACCAGTAATGACGTGTCCAGCAGGACTACAATTGTAGGGTGAAGAAGAACATGAACACGTAGAAGGATTATGTTTCAGATGTTTCATATCTAGGCACTGTTGACCTTTTTTGTAATTAAAGAGTTTGGAAGCAATAGTTGATGAATATTTGTAAGAAATGCAAGGTGTGAATTAACTTGAAATATGGTGGAATATAAGACTTGACCCTTTTGTGAAGAATATTACTAATATTTACAGTGTCAAATCCTTTGTTGGCAAATCTATTGAAACAACAAACAAGAGGCCCGGGGGCCACATCGCTCACCCGAGCACTTTGGCTAGGAAAAAGCAGAAATTAGTTCAG